ATATTTTAATTCATTTTCATATATTCGTTGAGAGTCCAGTCTATAGTGTCGATGCGCTTAACATCCGCACACAAGATCACGCACGAAAATTGATTTTATTTTAAACAGTGAACACGTGAGATTTTTCGTGTCACGAAAGAGAGCGACACAGGCTGAGCTCTAGCTACGTGTGATCTTTGTTGTTGTTGTTGATTATCTTTTGGCCATCTAATGAAGCAATTTTCATACCTGCTGCATTTTTGCGTTACTCGTCTGCAATTAATTTATTTGACTGGTTGGCAGTTGATCATTTGGCCCCGACTTCGACTTGTGATGGGCCTTTAAGCGGCATGGGGTCCTCGATGCAGAGGCGCATTTTTGCATTTTGCATTTTGCATCGACTGCGTCGTTCGACTGATTGGGCCCAGGGACTTGAGTTCGAATTCCCTGGACCAGTGGATCTATAAAATGTTGGCAGTCCATCGTAATTCAAAGTAATTAGTCATTGCAAACTAATGAAATGTCTGTAGCCTGGTAATGAGAATGCTTGGGCAGCAGCAAGGCATTTAAAAGATTGATGGAACGATTGAGTTAAGGGAAAATCATTTTGCTATGCAATCAATCACTAAAACTAAATATAACTTTTCTTTGAAGCCAAAAATAGTTTTCCTTTGAACAATAAATATTATGACTTAAATATGAATTAATGTTACTAATCGGATCATCGTATTATATAGCTGCCCAAGAAAAGTATCTAGCAAAAATTAAAATTTTAATTTTAAAATCAGAAGCTTTTTGATATGCCATACCTTTGTTTTTTTTCATTTTTTAGGTATTTTTGTTTAAGTTATTATGAAGAGACATTAGCGAGGCGATCGAGGCAGCATATTGGCATATATTCAATAACATTCTCATATATTATTAGACAGGGAATATAATTGCTTCTACAATTGCCAGCTTGTCAAAATAGCCAATGGCTGACACCTGATCCCCCAGGGCAAACGTGTGGGAAATTTGCGATGCATTATTATAAGCCTGGCTTTCAGTACTGGGTAACTAACTGACACCAAGACCATCAAGCAGCGATTTTATGATTCACGCTTGCATTAAAACCTCATCAAACTGGGGTAACAAATCGCGCAAAAGTCTATGAAACAAAAGCCAAAAGCTTAACTACCCAAGTAGTAAGAAATGCCGGCAGCTTGTGGAGCCGTGAACTGCGGGCGCGGGACAAAGCCCAGGACTGGGACGGAGCGACGATCTGTTCGTCGGCTGAATACAAAACAACGGACTGTGCGCAACTTCACGCCGTAATTAAACTGTCTTCGGTTGTGTTGTGTTGTACAAGCGTTCAAGCATTAAGCCGTCCAAAATTCAACCAGTGCCATTTTAAGTTTCATTTATTTTTCATACTAGCTCCGCACACTTTATTCCTCTTGTACCTTATACCTTATACCTCGTATATATGTGTGTATTTTGGTTTTCACACTATTTTCTACAAATTTAACGATTCTGTTCGACTCAATGCGATGCCGTGATTTTTATTGCCGCACTTTTAGCACTATTTTGAAGTCCGAGCGGGCCCTCTTTCAGTGGACTTATTGCTCACCTATTTATTTGCATGTGCACAAAATAAAGCAAATAGGAACAGCATACGATCTCGACTAGAATATACCCTGTAGCAAGCTGTTCAGTAAGCAATATCTTGCACAGGAGTACATAGATGTTTACATTTGTACACATATTCGGTTTTATTCTGCATATATTTTTGCTACATAAATTAACTTTGGCCCACATTAAAATACCCTAATTTCGCATGCCCATGGTTGCAGGGTATACAAATTAAGCGTGTTAGCCGCTGCTGAACCTACGATGGGAATTAGCACATGTGAGACTTTTTTCGTCTACCTTTAAAGGCTTGGCCTGGGCATTGTTTTATGCTTGAATTATTGAAAAAATTGAAATTATCTTAAACCCAAAGCGGCGGTAGAGCCTGCTATTAAAACAAATTCTAAGAAGTTGTGAAAAATGTTTCAAATTGAAATTCATTATGCACAAAAATATAATATAAGTGCGAGAATTTCTAATATTATTATGTATATCCTTCTTATATACATAATAACAAAACTTGATTGGTTTAAAACTGAGATCCTCATATTTTTAGAGCCATGTTTAAGAAATTTGTCAAGAACATGTGCAATTCGGATTGAACCTGATTACAAAGTTCTTATTAGGCGTCACATCATTTTGTATTATAGTTATGAATAAAGTTTTTTTAATTCGTGAGATTTATTTATAATCTCTTTATCATTTCCTGCGCGTCTTTCGAGTGCTTTCTCACATAATCACACTTAATCGTTGATTCAGGTTTTGAAGAATTTGAATAACCCTCGTTTACATACACACAACACACACTCGCACACACACGCACCCATATTAATCGCACACTTTCATGTGCATTCATCAAAATTTCAACACTCAACCAAAAAAGGAGCCTTTCGCAAAATTTGCTTGTTGCTGGGGCGCCAGAATGCATTGCATGTAAGAGATCTTGGCCAAGTGGCAGGCGAGCGACACCGAGCCGAGACGAGAATGGAGCGATAAAAGCGGGCTGCCATGGACAAGAGCCAGACTGGGTGAAAATGGAGAGGAAGTGGGTACTGGCTGTGGCACTGATGGCACAAAAAGGTGCATAAATCGCGTGAAAAATGTGAAAGAAAAAAGCATTTTGACACCAAAGCAAAAGGTGGCTGTTAACTGGCAGTGCGTTAAAACACGTTGACTAGATGATGATTATGAATATGAAAAATTAATGATAGTCACAGCATGGCAACAGTTGCACGCACATTCACAGCAGACGATGCGAATGCACAGATTAAGTATACGCAGCGTTTGCCCACTTGGACAGCCTGGCCAACTCGGCTTGTCAGCGTCAATTGCGCAGCGGTTATCCGTTAGAGTTTACACATAGGAAGAGTCAAAGAGGGAGAGGAGAGATCGAGAGAGAGAGAATGAGAGAGATAGAGAGGACTGCTGGCTTTCTACTATTGGTATTTTTAATTTTTATTATTCATAGCATTTGCCTGATCTTTGCATTCAGCTATGGCTGTTAGTTTGCATTTCTCTCCGCTGGCTTCTCTCGGCTTCTCGTCTTCTCGGTTTGTCGCTCTAAGCCGCCGCTGCGTTCAATTTCCATTGGCTCAGTAGCCAGGTCACTTGCGAAACTTTCTATCTTACTGTCTTCAAGCTCCTGCAGCTTCGTCTCTTTAAGCTATCAACTTCAAACTTGACTTTCAGACTAATCGCCCATCTGCCGTTTGCGGTCATTCGCTTAAAGATGCGGCAAGTGTCACAGCCCCAGACCCAGTCGCATCCATAGCTGCACGGTCAGATTCCAAGACCAAGTCCCACTTCCAGCTTGTGCTCAATGTGCGTGTGCCATTTCCCATATCTCGCCTCTGGCTTGGAGCCAGGAGTCTGGCTTTCCGACTGGCTGAGATTAGCGGCAAGCGCTGGCAAGTTGCGTTTAAATGCCGCACATTTATTTAATTTGTATTTCGTTTATTTATTGCATTTTCCTTTGCTCTTTGATGCTCTTGCTAAAGTTAATTGTCTGCTACTTTAGCTTTGCCCCTGACATGGCATTTAGTAGTCGCTTTGCAGTTTGCAGTTGTCCGTTTGAGATTATGCAACTCTATAGTTAATTGCTAATTAAAACTTGACCATTAACGGTAGGTGCCTGTTTAAATGCATTAGCTAGGAATAGTTTTGATAACCAAATGACTAAGGATACCTGTAAGAGGTGTGGGTACTCAATAAAAAAGCAACAACAATATTTACTGTTATTCTACTAAAAACATATTTAACATAAACTAGCCCAAAAGTATGCAACATTGAAGCCTTAAAGTAACAAGAGCTATGCGGATATATTACATAACAAAATCGATTAAAATATTTTAGAGCTGAGTGAATGTATGACCTGTCTTGAAAGTGGTTCAGCAACGTTCTCACTCAAAGTTATACAATATTAGATTAATGCTTACGATATAATTACCAATAATATAGAATATTAAAAAAACAATAATAATAAATTATAAGATTGTCAGTATAACTATTTAATGAACCCCCGCTTTAGTCATCAGCCGACTCCGAAGCTTTAACTTATTTGTTGCTTTACGCTTGTAATTCGCAACAAGTTAAAACTTGGAAATAAGGAAGGACAAATAAAAGGTTGAACAGCTTTCCGGCCATCTTTCGCTCGTACGGTAAACTTTTGAAATCGCTTAAAATTGAAGCAATAAATGAAAGCAGGCTTCATCTCAATTGTCTTTTGTTCCCGATTTTAATCAGATTTTGCAAGCTAAAAAAAATTATATTAAAATGAAATTGTACAGCATTTGTTTTAGAAATAAAAGTATATTTATTTCATGAAGTAGATACAATTTATTTACTTAATACATTTACAGAAACACCATAATTACTTTCCATATCTTGTTACATATTATATTTAAACAATAATTAAATGATCGTTGCTAAGATATTTGTAATCCACATGCAGATTTGATGCTGTTTAACACAATGTTATTATTCTGACTGATTAGCGGCACAGAGATTAAGTCATGCGAAGGCATTCCAGTATCCAAGTCGCTTAAAAGTTTTCAGATGCAAAGTTAACTTGCAAGTACTTAATGTCGACTTGTTAGGCAGCATCCAGTACCCAGCATCCCGCACGTAAGCACCTAAGCACCGAGTTTTAAGAAGTACGCGATGCTTAACTAACGACAGCGTCATCTTTTGCTTCGGCTGCGCCCCAGAGTTATTTTTGAGTTGTTTTTTTTTTAGTAGTTGTTAGTGTAGTCATCGTCGTGGTTAGCGATGCTCGTAAAACATGTTTTTTCAATTAAAAATCTACGAAATGCAACAGCCCACAAAAACACCAACAACAACAACACGACACATGCTTCGCCAAGTTTGCGTATCGTTCAGTGTAAGTAAAATCCAGAGTCAGAGTCAGAGTCAGAGCCAGGCCGGAGCTGGTGCTGGTGCTGGTGTCAGTGCCGGAGGCTAAGGCTCAGTTGAGGCAGTTAGTCAACTTGGTTAGTTAGTTACTGGTGTGTCTGCCTAGCCCTTGCGCTTTACCGTCATCAGCACGAAGATGATGATCAGCTTTCGGCCATCATCATGATCACCTCCTGGTGGGTATGGCGAGCGTGTGACTTTATGTGGCAATTGTTAATATGACAAATTAATTTGTTACCCGGATTTGCCATTGCACCTCGCATAATTTGTGTGTGTGTGTGTGTGTGTGTGTGGAGCGAGATCATAGAAGGGAGTAAGTCAGATAATTGGCTGCACTTAAGGGGAATGACATGATACTGATGCATTCTTTAGATGCGTTTTAATATAATTGGTTTATTTTCTACTCTCTTATATACTTAACCATTTAGAAGAGTGGAAGGCAATTACAAATAATTTCCACCTTAAATAAGCCATAGCAACTAAGTTCTAAGGGTTATTATTTATTATTTGTATGCCCTAATTTACTTAATAGACCTTTTTTTATAAAATATTTATAATTATGAATAACTTTGAATATTTTATTAAAGAGAGCTTTGACAAAATCCACCAATAGGCAATTTTATTTTTTTTTAAATCAAAACAATTTATAATTTATTAATTGGTGGTAAATTTCAATTTCTTCTGAAGCACTTTTAAAATTGTTGGATATTCAAAATTTTGATGGTACAACTATTATATGTTGCCAATTATCTTATAGGCATTGCATTAATTCGTTCTTTCATATTCATTTGGCTGAGACAAACTATTTGTTCTAGCGGTAATAATTTTATTCTAATCTCGCAAATTCTACCCCGAAAACTGTAGAGATTCTCTGATTCGGGTATCTAACTATACACAAGTATACATTCCACGCCTTGAATAAGTTGATATGATATGGACAGACAGGCAGGCGGATAGGCGCACATTACACAACGCCAATATACTCTTTTCACTATGTGATAGTGTATAAAATCCATTAAAACAATCCATATTAAACCATTTTAACAAAAATTACGTGTATTATTATTTGTACATTGTACAAAGGGATACAAAATATTGTTGTCAAGTAGATAGTTATTTAATTTTTGTGTCTCATTCTAGAAATCTATCTCCAACTTGATAAATAAAGATGTGAGGCGTGAGTGAAGAACTCTTGTCCAGAATTATGCGATGTTTTTATTGTTGGGGAATGTCACAAATTCAGATGTGAATACCATAAATCGGCTCAGACAATTATGAGCTGTCGGCAAAGGCAACTAATACGCATGGGGCGGCTATAAACAAATGACAATTATGGCTGCACTGCATCAAAATTTGCCGTTAGACGCGACGAGCGGGACAGATAAACTCGTCGCCAACGCAAAAGCTGCCAGGCAATAAATTTTCCTTATGCGCCCGAATCGCGTGTGGCAATAATTTTCGCACAGAGAGCTACCGAAAAGAAACAATAGCAAACAATGCACTGGCTGGAGAGAAGAAGAAAAAAAAACCCGAAAGAAAAAAAGCTGGTCGGTGATGAGGATTGAGGCTGAGACCGAAACGAAGCCGCCGTCGCGAATCCGCGCCCATCAGGAGCGCAAGACCAAGTGACGGTGCCACCAATTGCTTTCAATCAAACACAAACTCTGTCATCGATCATTCAGCCGGTGGAGCCCGGGCTACCCGGCTGCCCGGCTGCCTGACTGCCTGACTACATGGCTGACTGACTGAATGACTGACTGGCTGGCTGACTATCGTCAATGTCGGCGTGGAGTTGGCTCCTTTGGGGCCAATAAAGCGAGCCGCTGGACGCTGAACGCAGCAGCCCACAGCCTGTTGGAGGATGGCAGCGTGATGACAATTTGATTTGCATGCAATGCAAGTGCAATTATTATGGCAAAGGTGACCAGGAAAGGCATCGGCCTGGCTCGAACCTGGCTCGCCCCGGCTCACAACAAGAGCAGCAACTCCGTCCCTCCGTCCGTCTGTGTGTCAGGTCAAAACTGGCAGAGTATGCGGCTGCTCCGACGGCTATTTTGCATAAATGTCATTATTGTTGCCGCTGGCTCTCCAGACCGCCGCTATCTCAAACTGATTGACAGTTGAATTGAAAAGTTTGGCGACATTTTTCCTTATTTGATTTGTTGCTGTTGTGGTTGCAGTTGCCGCCGTTGCCGTTGCCGCTGCCGTTGCCGCTGCCGTTGCCGCTGCTGCCGTCGACTCGTTGCAGATATGCAAAAATTGGTGAAAATGTTTTCTGGCACTTTGCTGGAGCACAGCTTTTGTATATAGTTCATAACTTTTCTTCTTTCCCTACCCACCTTCCCGGACGGCCTGTCGCTGTTGCGCGTCATGTTGCCAAATGTATTTTGGTTAATTAATGTTTACCCATTTTCATTTTCTTGTCGCCAAGTGTGATAACCAGTGTTTGCCATCGTATGCATTCAGCGTGAGTACATGCAAGGATATGCTGGTGATCAACATGAAAAGACGACAACACAACGACAACAACTATTCGTATGTTTAGAAAACTTGTTCATTTGAACCGTGGTAACAGTCGAGCCAAAATATTTTCTTAGTTTAACTTTATTTATTTATAAAATATATAAAATCTCAAAATAACAACGAACAAGTTTAGCTTTTTTCCGATTAAAATTTGATCAAAATCGAAGCTCTTAAGCAAAATTTAAATATTATTCGAGCTAGTCAAATTAAGTATGCGGGTAGATAAAAATAAAGAATAATTTATTTGTAGATACACTTACAAATTAATTCTACCCGATTTTTACGACTTGTATGAAAAATCTTTGTTGCATAAGAAGATATTAACTGTGTCCCACAAAGATACTCTCTCTGTATGCCTCCGAGGAATGTTGAGCATATTTCTAACTGCAGTAAGCAAAGCGCATTTAAACATTTTTTACCAATATAAAAACAAAGAGTGGCATGCAGGCAGCCGGCTGCTACCCAAATAGCCGAACGGCAGGCATTTAGTGAGTAGTGGGAAAAGGAACCAATTGGTAGTCGGTCAGTTCCAAAAAGACGACTCGCCTGCAAATGAAATAAGTTGACATGCATTGACAGCGGCTGGCAGGCGGGCTGGCCGGTGGGGCAGGTGTTCAGGTGAGGCATAAATGGCAGTGGATGGAAAAGCTTGAGTCTAACCAAAATGCATTTTCACATAATTACCGATTGAGGTGGAACGCAAATTACCAAACTGAAATTTGAATAGCCAGTCAGACTTGGACTGCGCGTCTGCATTTCTTTGAAATGCAGCCAGCGAGGCAGTCAGCCAGGCAGGCAATATGAATGGCATTTCATCGATGTGGCTGTTGGCCAAATTAATTGCCTGCGCAGCCGCAAGCCCACTGTCCATGGCGGTGGCGGTGGCGGTAGCAGCCACAACAGCAGCAGCAGCAGCAGCAGTAGAAGCTACTAACGCGTTGGCCAGGTTCTTGGCTGTGTGCGGCATAATCATAAAATCCTCGACTTTAATAAACATTTCCACAGAATCTTTAGCATCTCGACAGGGTCGACGTTGTTGGCTGACTCGTTTCTTTATTTCATGCCGTTTTACTGTGTGGCTTATGAGCTGCCGCCAATGGCCAGGACCGCATGTCCAACTTGGTCTTGGTCATCGTCTTGGTCTTGGCTATGGTCTGGCCAGCACCGTAATGAAACTTGCAGTCGTTGACTCATTTATGGTCGCTACCGCACCGACTCCTGCCTCCAGCTCCCTGCCTGCCCGCCTGCATATTCTGCTCATTTGCAAGCTTGACTGTTTGGCAATTAAATAGGAAAATGAAATTTTATGTGGCTGCAAACAAAACCACACCCAACGGCTAGCCTTGACAGGTCTGGCTGTAATTAGAAATGTTTTTTTATTCAATGCTAATGAAAATATCTCGCAAGTGTTTTCTCTTTTTCGAACGGACAATTTACCTACATGTTTACAATTGGCAACTTGGCTCCTTGTCAGAAAATGTTGGTCAACACCAAATACTTTTGTTAAAAAAAGGGAAAGTGTAGGTCAGACCTTAAGGTGCAATTTTTTTTTGCCCTTCTTCCAAGAATAACCAAGAATAACCAAGAATGACATCCTAATAAAAAACTTTTTTGGATTTCGATACAAAACAGAAGAGAATAAAAATTAAATAACAAAAAAAATATCTAACCACTTCTAATTATTGATATTATCTAGTAAATCAAATGTATTTAGTGAATTTAACATTTGTAATGAAAGTCTGAATTTATGAGCCAAGTTCGAAAATTATTGACGGAACCTAAGAAAAATGTATATATTTTATGTTCTTTTACTTCTACAAAGATTAAGATGCATTACAACTATCATATTAGTAGTTCACAAAAAGTCAGAAAATGTACTAAGTACAAATTAGTTGCAAATTATGACTAGAATTCGACACTAGACCATAGCAAATGTGTCTTGCCGAAAGCACTTGTAGGCGAACTAATGGCATGGCCTGCCTCAACAAGATCAAAGCTTTGCCCGCAGCTCCTTGACATTTGGCGGCAAATATCCCGAGCCATACATAGAAGCAGTATATAGAGTACCGCTGACATCCCATGCCCCCTCAGCGACACCCGTCGCACACTCGAGCAGACAATGGGCGAGCGCACAAAGAACAAAAAGTTCAGAAACACGCTCGAAGCCTAAGTGCAAAGCGCATTGAATAGCTTAGTGACCCCCGATAGACGTAAATGCCAACAGCGCTGCTTATGACGTCATATGCAAATACTTACGAGTGTGTCAAGTTTAAAAGCAAACGCAATTAATAAACGCGGCTGCGGCTGCGGCTGCGAATACAACAACTACTTAGCCGCTTGCATGTATCTGTCAGATACTTTTGTGAGACAATGTATGCACGTAATTAAAAATAGCAGCAATGCATCATCGAGTGTTGCAATTTCGCCCAGAGGCAACTTGTGCATGATGACGCCGCAAGAGAACTTTGCTCCCTATTCCCCCCGCCAGTCTCACTGCCCCTCAAGTGAACGCCAATAATGTTTATATGTCGCTGCACTTGACACTTCTCCGCTATACTTTATGGCCCAATGGCGCCCTTTTTTCATAATTCGCATGATAAAGCTGACTTTGGCTTTACGTTTTGTTTACATAAAAGCATAAAAGCACAACAAATTCATAATAATAGCTATAATAATGATAGGTTGAAGCAGGGAACACAAACCACAAGCAACAATTTCACTTCAGTCGTAAAAAATAAGTTGCAAATTTTCCTCAACGCGCACTGTAAAAACAAAGATACAAACAAGAAAATAGAAGATACTTCACACACACACACACACAATGACCACACCGACGGAAGCTGTTAAAGCTTATGCATTCTTTTGTTGTTGTTATATGATGAGTCAAAAGTGCAATTACGTCAGCAGAGTGACATTACAATGAAGATTAGAAACTGTAAAAAACATTTTCTAATTGTTGAGAATTGTCAACACAAAAAATGTTAAAGATTTCATTCTAAGCGAAAACAAAGATAGAAACTGCAAGTTAATCTCTAGATTGATTTCTAGAATATATATACTTACCGAATTTTTGATTTAATCAGTAATAACATGCAGGGGTTGATCGAAAAAAATAATATTAATTAACTTATTAACATTGGAAATAATTGTAGAAAATAAAGACAATTTATATTTGTATATATTTCTTTTTCATTTTATTTTTTTTTATTGTTTTGCATTGAATCAAAAATAGCAAACATTTTTAGTACAAAACAGTTGTTTTACTATTTTAATTAGCCATATTCAAATTAAATAATTTATTTACTATTATTATTATAATGCTGTTATTATTTTATTATTTTTAATAAATATTTTTTAATATTTATTATTTTTTGTGTCGATAAATAATACTTCCAGAAGAGAAAATTATTTTGAAAAGCGTTCTAATTTTGTATGCTCTATAAACCCCATTACAAATGTCGGTTTTGGGCAATAAATTTGATTAAGTTGCGGCAACTGCAACTGTTTGCAATGCTAACCATATCGGCAAGTCCTTGATAAAACAGGAAAGCCAAACAAATTTGTAATTTAATTTATAAGAGTACAAAAACTAAATACCGGCAATCAATAAACAAATAACTTTTTAGCTGGCACCATTTGCACTGGTTGCTTGCCAAATGCAATCAGAAGCCACCTTTGAAGGTGAGC